GGCTTACTGCTAAATGTTTTTGGGAATAACTGGAAGAACCAGTCCATGGCTGAGCAGGGGTTCAACCCTGGCCTCCTAGCATCCTGGTCCAACACCCAAAACCAACATATTGACTTCCTGACTCCCTAAGGCAACTTTTACCCATGCTTCTTCCTGCTTCTTCCTTGGTGCAAAGTTCTCCTTATTTATTATTTATTTTATTTACAGTATTCCATCTTTCTCACCCCACAGAGGACTCAGGGTGGATTACAATGTACATATATATGGCAAACATTCAATGTCATAGACACACAATATATATATAGACAGACCCACAGAGGTTATTTAATATTCCAGCTTTTTCATGAGGGTATTCTGGTCACTAGGGGAGCTGTCGCTTCACCGTCCATGTGTGACACTGATGAAGTACTTCCTCATTCTTTGCATGCTTGCTGGAGATTTTTATGGTGTCGTAAATTAGCCTCCCCGCATAAGTGGTATCTAAATTTCCTACTTGACAGATGCAACTGTCTTTCAGGCTGCAAAGGCCGACAGCAACCTACACAAATTGGTCGGAAGCTCAATCCGACCCAGGCTAGCTTTGTACTCATGGCAGCTGATGCCTAGCCAGCTACTAAAAGCTTCTCTTTCTCCCCTTTCTGACTCCAGTATCTACCGCTACCAGGCGCACGACTATGCCTTCAGTAGCAGCGAGGCCTTGCTCCATGCCCTTGGAGGGTCCCCATTCATTCAGATGCTGAACCAGACCATTGATGAATCCATGCAGAAGGCCGGCTTCTCCCAGAAATTCATCCGTGAGATAGTCACCCCTGTCATGAGGGTCAACTACGGACAGGGAGTCGGCATCAACGGATTTGTGGGTGAGTGGGGTTTGCAGAACCAGAAAAGTTTCTCCAGGCAAAATGATGGCCTTCTTACAACCCAACTAACTGTGCAGCCATTGCATCTCCATCACCGCCACCACCAAGGCCAGCCTGTGTCTAATGGACAATTGAGGCAGCTTGAGAAACTCATTACACTTCTACATCCAGATGCAGAGTGATGACTTCACTTGCTGAGGTCTACTAGAAGTCTTAGCAGATTGATGTCATAGAATTCAAGAGGCCATCTATTCCGACCCCCTTCTGCCAGACAGGAAGGCACCATCCAAGCTCTTCCAACAGATGGCCATCCAGCCTCTACTTAAAAGCATCCAAAGAAGGAGACTCCACCATGGTCCATATCAATGGGTTTGTAGGAGTCATAACCCAGTGTCCAGTTCTGGGCACCACAATTCAAGGATAGGGACAAGATGGAAGGTATCCAGAGAAGCACAAAACACAACCCATATGTAATTCTTGGCAAACCTTAATACATTTGTTAACAAACATTTGTTACACACCTTAACACATTTATAACTGGCTATTAGGAATTGTGGGAATCCAAAACAACTGGAAGGGCCCAAGCTTGCCCATGCCTGGTTTAAGTGGGAGACCTGACTGTTTTTGTATCAAGCTGGCTCTTCCTGTCCTTGGGGCTTCATTTTTCTCTTCTCCTTCCCTGGCAGGCGCAGTCTCTTTGGCAGGAGCTGAGAGTGGTCTTTGGTCAGTAGAAGGGGGCAACAAACTAGTATGCGTAGGTCTCCTCTACGCTTCGAAAGCCCAGCCGATTCCCGGCACTGTGATTTCTGTGGAGGAAACAACGCAGCCCAGAGGACGCTCAGGTGAGGCGGCATAGATCTCCATTTAGTTAAAATATGATTGCATTGCATGGAGGAATAGGGACATAGGTGAGCATAAAGACACAGAAAACAAGGAAAAGTGAACTTTCCTATTTCTATACGTTACACCAGGGGTCCTCAAACTTTTTAAACAGAAGGCCAGGTCACAGACCCTCAAACTGCTGGAGGGACGGATTATAATTTGAAAAAACATGAATGAATTCCTATGCACACTACACATATCTTATTTGTAGGGCAAAAAACAAAAACAATACAATAATTAAAATGAAGAACAATTTAAAAAATATAAACTTATTAGTATTTCAATGGGAAGTGTGGGCCTGCTTTTGGCTGATATGATTGTTGTTGTGTGCTTTCAAGTCATTTCAGACTTAGGTTGACCCTGAGTGAGATAAATGACCTTGTAGGGCCGTATTTGGCTCCCGGGCCTTAGTTTGAGGACCACTGCGTTACACCATGTAACACGATTTGTGTTCCTAGGTTATAAATATCATTTTCTAATTGGTTCTATCACAGTGGTTCTCAACCTTCCTAATGCCGTGACCCCTTAATCCAGTTCCTCCTGTTGTGGTGACCCCAACTATAAAATTATTTTCGTTGCTACTTCATAACTGTAATTTTGCTCCTGTTCTGCATCGCCATGTAAATATCTGATATGCAGGATGTATTCTCATTTACTGGACCAAATTTGGTACAAATACCCGATATGATCGAATTTGAATATTGGTGGGGTTGGAGGGGGGAGATCGATTTTGTAATCTGGGAGTTGTAGTTGCTGGGATTTATAGTTCACCTACAATCAAAGAGCATTCTTAACCCCACCAACGATAGAATTGAACCAAACTTGGCACACAGAACTCCCATGACCAACGGAAAATACTGGAAGGATTTGGTGGGCATTTGGTGGGAGTTGTAGTTTGCCTAAATGCAGAGAGCACTGTGGACTCAACCAATGATGGATGTGGACAAAGCTTGGCACAAATACTCAATATGCCCAAATGTGAACACTGGTGGAGTTTGGGGAAAATAGACCTTGACATTTGGTTGGAGGGGGGAGATCGATTTTGTAATCTGGGAGTTGTAGTTTTTGGGATTTATAGTTCACCTACAATCAAAGAGCATTCTTAACCTCTCCAACGATAGAACCCCCCTGCCTTGAAGCAATTACTGTAGCTGGTGTGAGCCTCCCTCCAGCTTTGCTCGCTCTCCCTCGCCCACACATGTGCACCACGCTGCCATGGGATCAGCATGCCTGCTCTCTCCTCTTCTCTTGGGAGTCTCAGAAAGAGCCCTCCAATTGGCTGAGAGGCAAGCCAATCACAGCAGAGGAGGGCTTTTTTGTGGAAGGATTCACCGTATTTCCAAAAAGGAAGAGAAGGACCGGTGGAGACATCTTCAGCTTTCTCTGCCAAAGGGGTTCGTAAGATCATCAAGTAATACATGTTTTCTGATGGTCTCTGATGATCCCTCTGAAAACCCCTCACGACCCTCAGGTTGAGAAAAGCTGTGCTATAGCACATTTTGCTCTTGTTTTTAGTAATAATAACTTTATTTTTATACCCTGCCTCCATCTTCCCGAACGGACTCAGAGCGGCTTACAATGAGCCAAGCCTAATTACACACAGTTAAAACATAGAATATAAAATATAACAATAATATAAACAGCATAAAACAACATAACAATAATAAAACAAACATCATAAGCAACAACCGAGGACATATTTCAATGAATATCTCATCAAGTTCAATCAATTCAACCTAATTTGTGGAAGCCACAACTATTTTCAAAGGAAGAATCGCACAATGAAATGGGAAACAACACTTTTGGACCAGAAACAGATAATTCTTCAAATGTTGTTATAAAGTGCTAAAAACAAACTCTAGGCATTCCTCAGGAATTGCCTCTGAACTGATTTCAAAAATAGTCCACATGCCTGTTGTTTCTTTTAATGGTCTTGCTGTTAAGTCTACTGATGTTTTTGTTCTTTCAGGAGAAACCATGAAGCTGTATGAAGTCACCTACAACTCCACCTCAGGAGTGACATCTGATCTTTATGATATTATTCTGATTGCTACTCCTTTGCATCGCAAAATCGCCAACATCACCTTCCGCAACTTCAAGCCACCCATTCCCGAATTCTCCAGACCCTACCAACAGATAATCGCTACTTTTGTCCATGGGAACATCAACACTTCCTTCTTTGGCTACCCAGACCCTTCCAAGTTCCAGTTAAGTGGCATTTTCACTATGGAAAACCCCAAGCTATTTGTCAACAGCATTGGCATCGTCTCTCCTGTTGAAAACAATACTAAAGCAGCAGAAGGCTCTCCGGTCTGGAAAGTATTTTCTCCCCAGCCCCTGACCAAGGAGCAGCTGAACCTGCTCTTCTCCTCCTATGATTTGGTGGAATCAAAGAAATGGCTGGCCTACCCTCATTACAACCCCCCTGAGCAGTGCCCGCCCCTCGTTATCCATGACCGCATGTACTACGTCAACAGCATAGAGTGCCTTGCGAGTGCCATGGAAATGAGCGCCATCTCAGCCAAAAATGCCGCCCTCCTGGCTTATAATCGCTGGTATGAGCGGATGGACAAGATTGATCAAGAGGATTTGCACGAGAAACTCAAAACTGAGCTTTGACGGTGAATGGGTGTTTTCTGAAAAAACAGAAAACGCCTAAAAACGGTCTGCTTATTTTGAGCCAGTTTCTCTTCTGTGACATGTTCATTTTTGTAATGTGGTGTGTGGTAAAAGACTACTACTTCAAAGTACTTTTATTCAGGTGGTTTCTTTTCCTAACAAAGTTCTCTGCAGCCTTTTCTGCAAAAAGCAGAATGTTACTATTTTTTCTCAATCCCAATAGCCAATGGAAAAACATACATGGGCTGCAGGGGTAAAGAATGTTTGTTATCGACCTGTACATCAAGTTTGAAAAGGTTCATCCCAGTATCCCTAACCATTAGTGTTTTGGAAGAAGCCCACAATGGCACAATGCTTTAAACCCTTGTGCCGGCAGGACTAATGACCGATGGGTCAGAGGTTCGAATTCAGAGAGAGTGGGTTGAGCTCCCTCTGTCAGTTCCAGCTCCCCATGCGGGGACATGAGAGAAGCCTCCCTCAAGGATGGTAAAACATCAAAAACATCTGGGCATCCCCTGGGCAATGTCCTTGTAGATGGCTAATTCTCTCATACTAGGAGCGACTTGCAGTTTCTCAAGTACATTGGGAGGTGAACTTGGCAACATTCATAACAACTGAGTGAAGCTTTCACAAAAGAAGAAGTGTTAAACCAGTTTTAACAATTTATTTTTTAAAAAATCACACAAGGAGTGGGGAATTTCCCATATCTCGTACAATACAAAATAATGGTATATTAAAAAAAAGAGAATCACATTGTGGTAGAGTCCAATGGTTCCTTCACACCCGTTCCAAAGCCTCTAGCATAATAATACTGTTTCCTCGTATTACCTAGGAAGCAAAACAGTGGTGTTAAATGGCAACCTGTGACTAGTTAAGAGACATAAGATAGAAATTTAAGTTGAGAAAGGCATAACCTCAAAAAGAGATACAGACAGACCCTGACTTTCAAACGACTCCTAGTTAAGAAAGAGGGTGAGACAACAGGAAGTGAGAGAAATCTATCCCTCAAAGGCAAATCCATTCCTGGAAGAGTTCTTATCATGGGGAAAAAGGGTCCCCACTGAAGCTTTAGTACCAATCCTTGTAAATTTTCCAAAATCCAATTATCATAGGGAGGTGAAATCTTCTGAACAGCGACACAGGCGGCAAAGGACATACCAAAGGAGTGTTCACCCTGCCCTATACGATCCAAAGCATGCATGCACATCTATCTATCTATCTATCTATCTATCTATCTATCTATCTATCTATCTATCTATCTATGAAATTACAATTAAGAAATGTCTCTGTTCCAACTTCTATAGAAATTCATCTTAAGAGCAAACCTATAGAACCTCTCTCTCTGTAACTTGGAGGCTGCCTGTATACAGAATGATAGGATGGTGTGATATATCTAATATATACATGCCGTTCCCACAAACGAGATTTGGTTGTGTATAAATATTTGAGGGGAAGTCATAGGGAGGAGGCTTCCTTTGGAGCAATGGCTTCAAACTACAGGAAAGGAAGAAGATTCCTCCTGAACGGGGTTCCGGATGGCCCACCAAGTCTCTTCGAACTCTAGGATTCTATGACTCTATGGTAGGCTTATTATTAAATTGAATTTGTATAGAAGTTGGAACAGAGACATTTTTAAAGCGTAACTCCAGCCAATATACATATATATGTGTGTGTGTAAGATTTTTAGCATAGGGCACACATAAAATACGCATAAAGAGACAGGCATATCAACAATATTATTATTACAGGCCGCCCTTGAGTAATGAACATCCAACTTGCAAATGACTATGTTTTTGGATAGTTAACTTTCAATTATCCCTGATCCAACTTACTTGCAAATTCAACTTAAGAACAAACTTACAGAGCCAATCTTGTTCGTAAATTGGGAGCTGCCTGTATTTCCTATCATTCCTTTCGGAAGGTACAGCACAGCTCAAACCATTATTGAAATTTCAATTTGTCTGTGCTTACCACCATCCCGATGTTATTCTGTTGTCCGCCTTGGGCCATTTCCACGCACTCGTCTATCACAAGATTCATAAAGGGATCGAATCCTCGTAAAATCCCCTGGACATGCCGGCCGCCATTTAATTTCACTGTAAGGAATAGTCAACCTGTTAGTATGCCTGTTCTCCATTTTCATATAAAGTTCAGTGTTCTCCAATTCCATATAAGGTTCAGGGAGGCAGGTGTTACGATGCTAATATCATTCACTACATCATGGTTCACATAAGGAGATAAAATTGCATACAGTGGATAAGTATCACCGTATGATTTCTGTCTCCCTCTGTCCTTTATTTGGAGAATTCAATGGCCCTGCAAACAGGAAACAACTTGCTACTATTGCAAGTAGCATCAGAGAAAAATATAATAATAAAAACAATACATTTTATTAGTTACTCCCTCTCCTTGGGGCTTGAGGTGGAGAGAAATACAATTAAAGCACAAGAACATTCAAGCAAATATATTTTAAAAACCCAGAAAAGAAATTACATGTCAGAATCATGCATAGCAATAAATTTATATTTTTATGGAGCAAGACGGCGCTGGAAATCGTATTCCTATGAAGCGACTACTGTTTATATAGTCCATGGAAGGAAACAGTAGATGGCAATGTGTATTTTCCTTGCAAACCTCAACAAACAGAAAATATATTTTACTCACATGACAGCTTCTTATCCATAAATCTGAAATTTAAAAGGGAAATGTATAAGAAGATTGACGTCAGTATAAAAGTCTTATAGGACTAACATCTACTGGCAATGGTTATCCCTATAAGCTTTATTAATAAAGATGTTTCCCAATATCAATGTGTCTCCCAAAGCAGTTACTCTACTCCCAACTTGAGAAAAGTGTCAAGAAGTGCAGGAAACCAAGAACAGTTGATTAAAAATTTATTAAAAATAAATATGTGTATTTTGTATTGGGTACCTACGTTATATCTAAGAGACCTTGAATAATTCACAAGTTAATAACACTCAACAAAACTGGAATGAATTATACAAAAATTTGGATTGGTGATATAGACCCCGTACTCGATGGGACAAACCAACGGTTAAGCTTTTTAGCCAGAAATTGAAAAGAAAAGCAGAGGATCATATATTCTGGCAAATGGTAGATTTGTGTGAAGCCCAAAGGAGTGGATCGATGACAAATAGGATAGGGTAGGATAAGAAGGAATCTAATATCTCCAAAAGATTTTGGATGTGAAGATGTAGTTGGAACAATGGGTTAAACTCTTGTGCCGGCAGGACAGAAGACCAACAGGTCGGAGGTTCGAATCCGGGGAGAGTGTGGATGAGCTCCCTCTGTCAGCTCCAGCTCTCCATGCAGGGACATGAGAGAAGCCTCCCATAAAGATTGTAAAAATATCAAAACATCTGGCTCACACCAGAAGCGACTTGCACCACACACCAAAAGTGACTTGCAGTTTCACAAATTGCTCCTGACATGGAAAAAAAACCATTTTGTATAGGACTCCCACACCCATCCCAACAAACCCAACATCATTTTCTCCTTGTTCTCCCTTTGTGACATATTAGAAGCCTTGCAAGTTTGAATAAATATGATAAATGCTCTGGAGCCACAGTGAAAAGGGGAAGCCAGGAAGACAGAGTTCCACCATGTCTCCTGGGTCATCAGTTGGGAGCCCCCCCCCCCCCAGCAACAATATAGTAATACATAATACTAATATTGTGCTGTGCTAATATTATATATTGTATACACATATAATATTGATAATGTTATAATGTAATGCAATATAATATTAGTAATGCAATATAATATTAGTAATGCAATATAATATTAGTAATACATTATAACAATTATATATTTCATATTGCATGTAATATTACTAGTAATATTACAGTATAGTGGTATAGTACAATATAGTAAGATACAATAATAATATTGTGCTGTGTTAATATTATACTATTATTATTTATATTACAGAGTCCCCTTCGGGGTGGGATAATATAAATAAAAATGTAATGTTCATTTGTGAGATTAACACAACTCAAAAACCACTGGACGAATTGACACCAAATTTGGACACAATACACATCAGGCCAACGAGTGACCATCACTCATAAAAACACTGAAAAAACACAGTGGAAGTGACTTAAAAAGAAAAAAAAATCATTACAATGCATGCACATAACCACGCAAACACACACATATATACACAAAAATACAAATATATGCACACACAAAGCACATATACACAGACTGGGCCACAGCAATGTGTGGCAGGGGGCGGTTAGTATTTCATATTTATTGTGACCTCTTAATAATAATAATAATAATAATAATAATAATAATAATAATGTATTGTTGAAGGTCATGAAAGGCCGGAATCACTGGGTTGTCGTAGGTTTTTTGGGCTGTACGGCCATATTCCAGAAGCATTCTCTCCTGACGTTTCGCCTGCATCTATGGCAGGCATCATCAGAGGTTGTGAGGTCTGTTGGAAACTAGGTATATGGGATTTATATATCTGTGGAATGACCAGGGTGGGACAAAGAACCTTTGTCTGTTGGAGCTAGGTGTGAATGTTTCAACTGACCACCTTGATTAGCATTTGATGTCCTGGCAGTGCCTGGGGCAATCTTTTGTTGAGAGGTGATTAGATGCCTCTGATTGTTTTTCCTCTGTTGTTTTGCTGTTGTAATTTTAGTTTTTTTAAATATTGGTAGCCAGATTTTGTTCATTTTCATGGTTTCCTCCTTTCTGTTGAATTTGTCCACGTGCTTGTGGATTTCAATTTATTTATTTGGGGTTCTTTTACCCCGTCCTTCTCACCCCGAAGGGGACTCAGGGCAGCTTACAGAGGCAAGGCACAATTTGATGCCTGCATCATAAAAACAATCATGCACAAAATTACATCAATTCACAGTTGACAACAATTCATGCATTATAACCATAAAATCAATAAAACCAATACAAACCCAATTTCTCCTCTTACATGGTCAGCGTTCGCTAACTGATAGATCTAGTTTTACGTTCCACTTCATCAATCCTGTTGATCTTACTCGCCTGATTGTCTGATTTAATTGCCAGAGTGCCCAAAGGCCTGGTCCCATAACCACGTCTTCACCCTCCTCCTGAAGGCGAGGAGGGATGATGATGCCCTGATTTCCCCCGGGAGAGAGTTCCACAGGTGAGGGGCCACCACTGAGAAAGCCCTGCTCCTCGTCCCCACCAGCCTCGCTTGAGACAGTGGTGGGGTCGAGAGCAGGGCCTCCCCAGATGATCTCAAACTCCGGGGTGGGACGTAGAGGGAGATACGTTCGGACAGATACACTGGACCGGAACCGTACAGGGTTTTGTAGGTCAAAACCAGCACCTTGAATTGTGCTCGGAACTGAATCGGCAGCCAGTGGAGCTGGCACAGCAGAGGGGTGGTATGCTCCCTGTATGTCGCTCCAGTGAGCAGTCTGGCTGCCTCCCGCTGGACTAGTTGAAGTTTCCGAACAGTCTTCAAGGGCAACCCCATGTAGAGAGCGTTGCAGTAGTCTATTCGGGATGTAACAAGAGCGTGGACCACCGTGGCCAGATCTGACTTCCCAAGGTACGGGCGCAACTGGCGCACAAGTTTTAATTGTGCAAAAGCTCTCCCGGCCACCGCTGAGACCTGGGGTTCCAGGCTCAGCAATGAGTCCAGGATCACTCCCAAGCTGCGAACCTGCGTCTTCAGGGGGAGTGTAACCCCATCTAACACAGGCTGTAACCCTATACCCTGTTCCGCCTTACGACTGACCAGTAGGACCTCTGTCTTGTCTGGATTCAATTTCAATTTGTTAGCTTCTGTGTTGGAAATTAGGTAAATGGGGTTTATATATCTGTGGGATAATGCCCAGGGTGGAAGAAAGAACTCTCGTAAATCAATAAATAGAAGCCTTGCAAGTTGGAATGGCTCTAAGTTTTTCGTAACTCTATGGGCGAAACCGGTTGGAGCAATGCATGCTGGGAAGCGAGTAGGCCCCAAGCGGCCTAGCGGTCTTCCTCAGCCCGCTTCGTTCCCGCCTCTTTCGCGTTCAATTCCCGGCGGCCCCACTGCCCCGCCGGTTTCCCGGGCCTTGACTCACTTCTTCAGCTCCGGCGGGTGCGCTTTGCTCATGGTTCCTCCTCACACACCGCTTCCCTCACGCTCTCCGAATGCTCTCCTTCGCCTCAGCCAGCGTATGACGTCACGACGCTTCGCCCGACCAGTCAGGAAGAGGCCGCCGCGCATGCGCAAAGACTTGACTCCGTCTCGAGGAAGACATAAACCCGCCTCACCCTAGCAATCAACCAATCGCTGCGGGGAGGAGAGCTAAGCCCCACCTTCACTGTCCTGTCTTCCAATCAGAGGCCGAGCAGATGAAATCCCCGCCCACTCCTGTTTTTAGAGGAACCTTTTTTCCCAGAGATCCGGGCGGTCCTAATGCGCGCCCTTGCCTTTGTAGCAGCACGTGGGAAAGCTCAGTTCTTTTCAGTGGATGACCGTTCATAGAATCATAGAATCAAGGAGTTGGAAGAGACCTCATGGGCCATCCAGTCCAACCCCCTTCTGCCAAGAAGCAGTAATATTGCATCCAAAGCACTCCTGACAGATGGCCATCCAGCCTCTGTTTAAAAGCTTCCAAAGAAGGAGCCTCCACCACACTCCAGGGCAGAGAGTTCCACTGCTGAACGGCTCTCACAGTCAGGAATTCTGGGATCCAAGAAAATATCTTTTCCAAAAACTGGAATATGATTGCATAACTTTATATAGGAACACCTGAAAGAATTCTAGATAAAAATAGGATCATCTTTAATGTGGCATACACATGCACACAATATATAATCTATCTATCTACATATATAAAAATGCTCTGTGCATAATGAGTATCTTAAAAACAAAAGAACCAATGAACGAAATCACACCAAATTTGGCAACAAAACGTCTCACAACACAAGGAGTGACCATCACTCAAAAAATTATGATTTTGTCATTTGGGAGTTGTAGTTGCTGGGATTTATAGTTCACCTATAATCAAAGAGCATTCTGAACCCCATCAACGATGGAATTGAACCAAACTTGGCACACAGTTCTCCCATGACCAACAGAAAATACTGGAAGGGTTTGGTGGGCATTGAACTTTAGTTTGGGAGTTGTAGTTTACCTACATCCAGAGAGCACTGTGGACTCAAACAATGATGGATCTGGACCAAACTTGGAACGAATCCTCAATATGCCCAAATGTAAACACAGATGAAGTTTGGGGGAAATAGACCTTGACATTTGGGATTAGTAGTTACTGGGATTTATAGTTCACTTACAATCAAAGAACGTTCTGAACCCCACAAACGACAGAATTGGGGCAAACTTCCCACACAGAGCCCCCATGACCAAAAGAAAATACTTAAGGCTATCCAGTCCAACTCCCTTCACCAGGGCAAGAAAACGTAATCAAAGTCCTCCTGACAAAGAGCCATCCAGCCATAGACAGAGATAGAGAGATGATTCACACACACATACACACAGATATAGTATCATAGATTTGAAAGGGACCCCTAAAGAAGGACAATTATATTTTGCATGTTCCAGAGTAGGCAAACCAGACAATCTCCACATCAACACTGACAAAGAAACAATAAAAAATACTGTTTACCCACAAGCATAAAGAAATTACATATATTAGAAACCAACGCTTTCTCATTATTTTCCAGAGCAACAGACTGGGCCACAGCAATGTGTGGCAGGGGACAGCTAGATATATATATATGCGCAAAATCAGGTTATATATTATATATATACACACACACACACACACACACACACACACACACACATATACATATACACACATATTTGTGTGTGTATCCACACACACACACACATACACACACACGTGTTTGGATGTGAGTGTGTGTGTATATATATATATGTATATATGCACACATATATTTTTATCTAAAGTAAAAAGTATAATATATATATAGTAAAACGTATACAAACATATATGTGTGTGTGTATCCATATATATATATATATATATATATATATATCTCCCAGTGTAAAATGATACAGCACATAGACATGCATATACTATATGTATGTGTGTGTATATATATATATATATCAATGTGAGTGTGTGTGTGTGTGTATATATATGTATATGCACATATATATTTATATCTAAAGTAAAAATGAAAAATCAATAATAGTGTATGGTACACATACACACACGTGTGTGCATGTGTGTATATACATGCATCCAGATACAAAAGTGCAAATACATATATATTGCAGTTGAATATATATGTATTTGCACTTTTTATCATATATATATATATATATATATATGATAAATAAAAAGTGCAAATACATATATATTGAACTGAAAGTGCAAAAAGTAGGCAATATCAAATTTTATATGTATGTATAATATTAATATATATTATATTATAAATTAATATTTTATTTATTATATTATGTATAATTAAATATATCAAATTATATATGTATGTAGATATTGAATATAATATTTTAAATAAAAGTGCAAAATCAGGCAATTACAATAAAAATATCAAGTAGAAGCCAAGGTGGCTAAACCTGACCATATCATTTTAAAAAAAAAAGAATAATGCTTGGAAAAGCCAAAGGAAAAGAGGAAGGTCTGTGGATGATGGGATTTTTAGTGAGACTGCCATAAATTCATGTCAATTTGACAGCAATTAAATAACAACTTCAATTCCTTATATGCAAGGCTTGTTTTAGGTGAATATGAAGAATATCCAAAATAAAAAAAAATTCAGAACACAACACGCCTGAAATGTAGAGTTTTCATGTTTTTTATTATTATTTAAATTCTTTAGAAAATATTTCAGTTTAAAGGGAAGGAGGAAAATATAGGAAACCGGAACAGCGTTGGTGATTTTTGTCAGTCCCAGGAGTCGTTCCCATTGGAACAAAATGCAACCGAATGCATAAGAATGGCCTCTGAGCAGCTATACATTTCACAGCTTTCATTCATATTCTCCATCTTGAATGGCCGTCTGCACAATCTAAGGGCGTCTTCGCTCTCATTGCACTTGTGCAGCATTTAAGTCTACACTGTTGAATTAATCCAGTTTGATACTGCTTTAAATTCCAGTGGCTTGATGCAAAGGCATCCGGGGAGTTTGCAGTTTTGAAAGGCCTCCAGCCAGGCAAATTGGGGATTCACTGACAAACAACTTCCAGGATTCCATCACATTGAGCCATGGCAGTAAAATTGCCGTTAAACTGCATTAACTCTACAGTGTGGATGCACCTTTGCTTTGTTTTTTTGCGGGGGAGATGTGGATATATCCATACCTATTTTTAATTTTGCGTACCATGGGTTAGGTACGGGATTTCGGACAGCACCAAAAGAAAAGGGCCATTTCTTTCCTCCCCTCCCCTCCCCTCCATCACAGGAGAGTTTCTGCACTGTAAGGAAATCCGCCACCAACTCTTTTGCATTGTTGCCTGCTTCTGCATTTGCGGCCAGCTCCGTTGGGATCTCCGTTGCAATCCCTTCTGCCTTTCCCCCCCTTTTTTTTTTCTATTGTGCAATCCCAGCCAGGTTTTCCTTCATCTTCTTGGTCATGCTGGGGATGAGGCTGAGGTGGTCCTCCACGCAGCGGGAGACGCAGTTCTCCAGCTGGGACTTGACCTGCGGCTCCTTGCTGCCCGAGTCAAAGGCGTCCTTGGCTTTGTCATTGCAGTGCATGGTGCAGCGAGCCAGGCGGTCCTGGGGAAAACAGGGAGGGAGAAGTATTATTATTGGGTTACTAGCTGTCCCCTGCCATGCGTTGCTGTGGCCCAGTCTGTGTATATGTGTTATGTGTATATGTTTGTGTATATGTGTATATATGTGGTTTTGCGCATGTGTTGTAATGCATTTTTTTTTGGCTTTTAAGTCCCTTCTGATGTGTTTTTCAGTGTTTCCATGAGTGATGGTCACTCGTTGGCCTGAGAGATGTCTTGTGTCCAAATTTGGTGTCAATTCGTCCAGTGGTTTTTGAGTTATGTTAATCCCACAAATGAACATTACATTTTTATTTGTATAGATTACTAGCCATCCCCTGCCACGCGTTGCTGTGGCCCAGTCTGTGTATATGTGTTTTGTGTGTGTATATATGTGTATATGTGTTTGTGTATATATGTGTGGTTTTGCACATGCGTTGTAATGTATTTTCATTTGTTGTTTTCTAAAGTCTCTTCTACTGTGTTTTTAGTGTTTTTATGAGTGATGATCACTTGTTGGCCTGATAGGTGTTGTGTCCAAATTTGGCGTCAATCCGTCCAGTGGTTTCTGAGTTCTGTTAATCCCACAAACGAATATTACATTTTTATTTATATAGATTGTGTGTTTTCCGGGCTCCATGGCCATGTTCCAGAAACATGCTCTCCTGATGTTTTGCCTGCATCTGTGACAAGCAACCACAGAGGTCTGTTAGAAATGAGGCAAGTGGAGTGTTTTTAATATCTATCTATCTACCTGTGGAACTATATCCAGGGTGGGAGGAAGAATCTTTGTCTGTTTGAAGTATGGATGTTGCAATCAGCAAGCTTGAATAGCATTGAGTGGCCTTGCAGCTGCAAAGTCAATCAGTGAGGGTATCTGCATAGAGAGAGCCTGGCCTGTATTGCCTGGAGGCACCCTCTGCCTGGGAGATGTTCACTGGTCTTTGTTTATACACTGTGGAATAATGTCCAGGGTGGGAGAAACCCCATATCTTTTTGGAAGAAGTGTGAATGTTGCAATGAGCAAGTTTGAATAACTCTGAGTGGCCATGAAGCTGCAAGGTCAATAAGTGAAGGCATTTGCATAGAGGTAGCTTGGCCTCTGTTGCCTAGAGGCACCCTCTGTTTGGGAGGTTTCGACTGGACACAAAATATTATTTGAGAACACAGAAACCACTCCGACAACCATCATGTTAGACTATACAGAGAAGCCATTGAAATCTATATTTCTGTTGATATTATTATTCTTTCTGCAGATATTTTATTAGTATTTTAGATATTTTAAAAAACAATTTAATGTATATTTTGTGAATATTTCTGCAGATATTTTGAGGATTATTTCTGCAGATATTTTTATGAATATTTCAATTAATATTTTAGATTACTTTAAAGAATATTTTAATGTGCATTTTATGATTATTTCTGCAGATATGTTATGAATATTTCTGAAGATGGGTTGCTGTGAGTTTTCCAGGCTGTATAGCCATGTTCTGGCAGCATTCGCTCCTGACGTTTGGCTTGCATCTATGGCTAATGGCATCTTCAGAGGCTCTGATGGCAATAAATCAAGTGTAGTGTAAATATACACAGATACAGACACAGACACATATGTGTGAATTTTGTTGTTAGCAAGATTGAATAACATTGAGTAGCCATGAAGTTGAAGACTCAATCAACAGGGGTCTCTGCATAGAGGAAGCCTGGCTGTTGTTGCCTGGAGGCGCCCTTTGTTTGGTAGGATTGCCTACCACTTGATTGTTTGCTGTCTGGAATTCTTTTATTTCTGAGCACTGTTCCTTATTTACTGTCCTGATTCTGGTGTTTTTTAAATACTGGTCGGCAGAGTGTGTTCATTTTCAGGGTTTACTCCTTTCTGTTTACATTGTCCACGTGCTTCTTGTGCATTTCAGTGGCTTCTCTCCGTAGTCTGACATAGCAGTTGCCAGAGTAGTCTAGCATTTCTGTGTTCTCAAATAATATATTGTGACCAGGTTGGTTTATATTTGACAACACAGAAATGCTGGACCACTTTGACAACTGTCATGTCAGATAACCCAGAATGCCAGAAAAATGCGCATTTGGACTGTCTGCCATTGCAAGTTTTGACATTTAATGAGAAAATAGCTTTTCACAAGTATCATTGTTCTTACCATTTGTTCTGCATCCGTTCATTTAGTGTGTTTATGCACACATGGCATGCCTTTTCATAAGCAATTCTATTCAACAACAATAACAACAACAACAACAAGTTGCAAAGACTCTGGCACAAGCCAGTCAAGGTGGTCCCAGTGGTGATTGGCACACTGGGTGCAGTGCCTAAAGACCTTGGCCTGCACTTAAACACAATTGGCGCTGACCAAATTACCATCTGCCAGCTGCAGAAGATCACCTTACTGGGATCTGCACGCATTATTTGCCGATACATCACACAGTCCTAGACACTTGAGAAGTGTCCGATGTGTGATTGAATACAACAGCCAGCAGAGTGTCATCTTGTTGTGTTTCAAATAATAATAATAATAATAATAATAATAATAATAATAATAATAATCCATCTTGAGTCCCCTTTGGGGAGATAAATAAAGGTCTAAATGTAATCGTAATAATAATAATAATAATCATCATCATCATCATCATGCTACTCCTGTATCCTGCCTTTGCCAGACCACACCTGGAGCACTGTGTCCCATTCTGGGCACCACGATTGAAGGGGGATGTTGACTCTGACCTCGGATGTGTCCGAGAAAGAGAGCGACTAAAAGGATCAAGGGTCTGGAGAACAAGCCCTATGAGGAACAGCTTAAAGAGCTGGGCATGTTTAGCTCGCAGAAGAGAAGGCTGAGAGGAGACATGATGAGGGCCTTGGATCAAGAGGGGAGGGGAAGTCATAGAGAGGAGGGAGCAAGCTTGTTTTCTGCTGAATTGGAAACTAGGACACAATGGAGCAATGGCTTCAAAGCGCAGGAGATTCAACCTGAACATGAGGAAGAACTACCTGACTGGGAGAGAGAGATGATCAGCAGTGGAACTCTCTCTTTTCTCTCTGTGCCTTCTTTGGAGGCTTTTAAGCAGGAGCTGGATGGCCATCAGTTGGGGGAGCTTTGAATACAATTTTCCTGTTTCTTGGAAGAATGGGTTGGACTGGATGGCCCACCATGTCTCTTCTAACTCTAGGATTCTGTGAGCCTAGAGCAGTGGTTCTCAACCTTCCAAATGCTGCAGCCTCTTAATATTTTTCCTCCATAACATTATTTTTGTTTCTACCTCGCAACTGTAATTTTGCTACTGTTATGAATCGCCATGTAAATATCTGATATGCAGGATGTGTTTTCATTCACTCAACCAAATTTTGCACTGATACCCAATACTCCCAAATTTGAATACTAATGGAGTTGTGGGGTTGGGGGGAGGTTATTGTGACATTTGGGAGCTGTAGTTGCTGGGATTTATAGTTCACCTACAATCAAAGAGCATTCTGAACTCCACCAACAATGGAATTGAACTAAATTTGGCACACAGAACTCCCATGACCAACAGAAAATACTGGAAAGGTTTGGTGGGCATTGACCTTGAGTTTTGGAGTTGTAGTTCACCTACACCCAGAGAGCACTGTTGACTCAATCAATCATGGATCTGGACCAAACTTCACACGGATGAGTACTCAATATACCCAAATGTGAACACTGGTGGAGTTTGGGGAAAACAGACCTTGAGATTTGGAGTTGTAGTTGCTGGGATTTATAGTTCACCTACAATCAAAGAGCATTCGGAACCCCACCAACAATAGAATTGGACCAAACTTCCCACACAGAACCCCATAACCAACAGAAAATACTGTGCTTTCTGATGGTCTTTCGAGACCCCTATGACACCCCCTCGCGACCCACCCAGGGGTCCCGACCCCCAGGTTGAGAAACACTGGTCTAGAGAGAGGTTTGGAAAATCAGTGCAAAAGAAGTTGCTGGGACTGGAAACACCAATTGTTATTAATAACAATAACAACAATATAAAATAATGTTCAAAATATAAACCTTTTGAAAAAGCCAGCAACACACACATCACAGGGGTATTAACTCTTCCCTATGCTAGCCCCGTGTATGTATGTATGTATGTATGTATGTATGTATGTATGTATATGTGTGTGTGTATATAGATACTAGCCGTCCCCTGCCACGCGTTGCTGTGGCCCAGTGTGGTGATCTGGAAAATAAGGTAATGGTTTCTAATATATGTAATTCCTTTATGCTTGTGGATAAACAGTATTTACCCACAAGCAGTATTTACCCACATCCTTGTTGTTTCTATGTCAGTGTTGATGTGGAGATTGTCTGGTTTGCCTACTCTGGAACATGCAACATATAATTGTCCTTCTTTAGGGGTCCCTTTCAAATCTATGATACTATATCTGTGTGTGTGTGAATCATATCTATCTATCTATCTATCTATCTATCTATCTATCTATCTATCTATCTATATCTATGGCTGGATGGCTCTTTGTCAGGAGCACTTTGATTACGTTTTCTTGCCCTGATGAAGGGAATTGGATTGGATGGCCTTAAGTATTTTCTGTTGGTTGTGGCGGTTCTGTGTGGGAAGTCTGCCCGGATTCTGTCGTTCGTGGGGTTCAGAATGCTCTTTGATTGTAGGTGAACTGTGAATCCCAGTGACTACAACTCCCAAATGTCAAGGTCTATTTCCCCAAACTCCATCTGTGTTCATATTTGGGCGTATTGAGTGCTTGTGCCAAGTTTGGTCCAGATCCATCATTGTTTGAGTCCACAGTGCTCTCTGGATGTAGGTGAACTACAACTCCCAAACTTAAGGTCAATGCCCACCAAACCCTTCTAGTGTTGTCCGTTGGTCGTGGGAGTTCTCTGTGCCATGTTTGGTTCAATTCCATCATTGATGGAGTTCAGAAGGCTCTTTGATTGTAGGTGAACTATAAATCCCAGCAACTACAACTCCCAAATGACAAAATCATAATTTTTGAGTGATGGTCACTCCTTGTGTTGTGAGACATTTTGTTGCCAAATTTGGTGTGATTTCATTCATTGGTTCTTTTGTTTTTAAGGTACTCATTATGCACAGAGCATTTTTATATAGAGAGATTTCTAAGTTGTTTTCGATGTTTTTCTAATTTTTATTATTGTTGGTCACACCTTGTATGGTGAGGAGTTTTGTTGGCAAATTTGGTGGGTATTGGCCCAGCAGTTCTTTTGTTTTTAAGCCACTCATTACGACATGAAGCATTATATATATATAGAATATATATATGTATATATGGAGTTACACTTTTAAAAAGTCGCTCTTCTGACTTACATACAAATTCAGCTTAAGAACAAACTTACAGAACCTCTCTTGTTCATAACCTGGGGCTGGTCTGTACTGGACTCCAAGGGCATCAATCCATGGATAAAGTCAATACACTTTTTAGTACTGGACAAAGACTCTGAGAGACCCGAGTTCAAAGTGATATCACGCTGTATTAACTGTGCCGTGCAGATGGAGCCCAGCCTCTTTTTTCCCTTCCTCACCTGAAACCTCTCCAGCTCTTGGGTGACCACTGCTTGCGCCTGGGCCAACGGAGCGTGGCAGCGCTCAATGCACTGGTGCACTTGCTGCATGGAGGCCTTGTCGTTCTCGCAGCAGTTTGCGCTGCACCGGAACATGATGCCCTGCAAAGAGAGGAGAATTGGGTAGAGATTATTTTAATTACTATTATTTATTTACTATATATATATATATACACACACATACACACTAGAGCCCTCGATGGCGCAGTGTGTTAAACCCCTTTATCGGCAGAACTGAAGACCGACAGGTCGCAGGTTCGAATCTGGAAGGAGCTCCCTCTGTCAGCTCCAGCTCCTCATTTTTTTTTTGTCGTGTCAGGAGCGACTTGAGAAACTGCAAGTCGCTTCTGGTGTGAGAGAATTGGCCGTCTGCAAGGACGTTGCCCAGGGGACGCCCGGATGATTTGATGTTTTTATCATCCTTGTGGGAGGCTTCTCTCATGTCCCCGCATGAGGAGCTGGAGCTGATAGAGGGAGCTCATCCGCCCCTCCCCGGATTCAAACCTGTGACCTGTCGGTCTTCAGTCCTGCCGGCACAGGGGCATGCTCCTCATGCGGGGACATGAGAGAAGTCTCCCACAAGGATGGTAAAACATCAAAACATCCAGGTGTCCCCCGGGCAACGTCCTTGCAGATGGCCAATTCTCCCACACCAGAAGCAACTTGCAGTTTCTCAAGCCACTCCTGACACAACAAAAAAAATTACTATACTTACTATACTTGTATATCGCCTTTCTCAGCCTATCAGCGACTCAAGGCGGTTTACAAGTCAATACACATAATAGCAAAATACAGGTAAAACATTAAAACAATATAAAACCACAACAACAACAATAATACTTTATTTATATTCCAAACACTGACCCCTGTATTAGTTTACATTCAGTGCCATTATCAGATCTATGCTCCAGCTGGTAAGGGATTCTGGGACCTGCAAGCCAAATAGTGCAACTCTCACAAAGTTTGCAAGGAGTGTAGTCCAGCAAAGGAACTTTGGCTTAGGGCAAGGAGTAAGAAATACATTAAAAATTTTCAATCTTGGCTGCAATGGGGAACTATTTGCAAGCTCTGCTGTTGATTCGAGGGGGATGCTGGGAACTGTAGTCAAGCAAAGGAACTTTAGCCAACTCTTAGGCGTAAAAATTGGGGGAGGGGAGGCAGAGGAGGAATATTATTGATTTCTGCTTCATTGGGAAATGATTGCAAGCTCTGTGACCAGTCAGAAGGGGATGCTGGGGAGTGTAGTCCAACAAAGGAACTTTAGTCAATGCTGAAGAAGTTTTTTAAAATGCAATTATATTTTGAAATATTTTGGGATTTTTCCTTCATTGGAGAACTTTTGCAAACTCTGCTTCCAGTCAGAGGGAATGCTGGGAAGTATAGTCCGAGGGGGGAAATTGCACAACTCTATTGCAAAGGCAGAAAATTAAGGAGCCTGGGATCTGTAGTCCAAAAGCTCCTCGGCATCAAGTATATTCTCTCGTATCGAGGGATTCTGGAGTTTATAGTCCATTAAAGGAAATTTGCCCAACTCTAACTGCAGTTAGAAAATACAATTAACTAAGTAGACTTTGGGGATCTTTGCTCCAATAAGGAACTTTTGTAAACTCTTAAGCTGGTGGGAAGCGGATGCTGGGAAGTGCAGTCCCATAGGGGAACGTTCTAGATTTGAGGAGTAAAAAATTCAAATACAAAAGGAATATTATTATGATGGATCTTTGCTTCACTGAGGATGCTGGGAAGTGTAGTTCCACAAAGGAACTTCCTAGAATTGGCTGTAAAAATGCAATCACAAAAGGAACATTATTATTATTATTACTAATATTACTATTATTATTATTATTATTATTATTATTATTATTCAGGATCTCTGCTTCACTGAGGATGCTGGGAAGTGTAGTTCCACAAAGGAATTTCCTAGAATTGGCTGTAAAAATGCAATCACAAAAGGAACATTATTATTATTATTATTATTATTATTATTATTATTATTACTATTATTGTTATTATTCAGGATCTCTGCTTTACTGGGGATGCTGGGGAGTGTGGTCCCACAAAGGAACTTTCCAAAAATGGCTTTAAAATGTAATCACAAAAGAAACATTATTATTATTATTATTATTATTATTATTATTATTATTATTCTGACACAAAAACACAGTATTTCACAGCAAACGAGATCTATATGCTGGACTATTATTACTATTATTATTATTATTATTATTATTATGGATTTCTGCTCCATTGGAGATGATGGGCAATGTAGTCCCACAAATGAACTTTGCCCAGTTGGAAATGCAAATTTTAAAAGGGAACTTTTGGGGGGATTTCTGTTCCAAAGGAGGGTATTTGGAGAGGAGCAATGCACTCAGGGGAGAGATTGCAAGCCCTGGCTGGGGGCAGGAGTGTGGGCTTTGTAGTCCCACCCTAGAAATGCCCTTTGCAGGAATGCCCTTGGAAGGAGCCCTCCCTCTTTGCAAACCCTCCCTGCCTCCGTTTACACGTGCAAAGGAGGGCCTGACCTGCATCTTCCGGATGCTGCCCCGCTCCAGCCCTTGCACCATGCCGTCGACGGCCTCTTGCACCCGGAGCTGCTCTGCCTCTGCTCCCCTTGCAGCAGCCATGCTGCCTTCCTGGAACCGGTGTACTTCCCCTTTAAATCCGGGGCCAGGCATAAAGAGAGAGGGCGCGCAGCAGCTCCCTCGCGCGGCCGGAGACGGCGCTGCAGGCAGGCAGGCTCACTCACCAGACTCTGGAGAGGAGGAGAAGGATGATGATGGTGATGACGTCGACACAATGGACTAGATGACCCTTGGGGGTCCTTTCCAACTCATCTAAAGACCAGATCCAAAGGGACCAGACTGAATCCAAATAACAACAACAATAATAATAACAATAACAACTCAAGAGACTAGCTGACCCTTGGAGTCCCAACTTACCTAAAAACCAGATTTAAAGGCACCAAACTGAATCTGAATAATCATAATAACAACAACTGCAATAATAACGACACAAGGGGCTAGATGACCTTTGGGGGTCCCTTCCAATATAATGACCCTTGGAAGTTCCCTCTAACTCAACTAAAGACCATCTAAAGATACCAGAATGAATCCAAATAATAATAATAGTGAATAATAATAATAATATTTTAAAACACCAGACCCTGGGAAGCCATGGCCCTTGAGCGCTCCAGCTGGAGGTCAGCTGTGACCAGCAGTGCTGTAGTATTTTAAGAGGCACAAATGGAGGGCGAAAGAGAAACATGCCAAGAGGAAGGTGCATCAGGCCGACTGGGACTGCCTAGAAACCAATGCCCTCACTGCGGGAGAACATGCAGGTCAAGAATAGGGCTCCACAGTCACCTACGGACCCACTGCCAGTACGCCGATCTTGGAAGACAGTCCTACTCGGACTACGAGGGATCACCTAAGTAAGTAAGTTAGATGATGATGATGATGACGACAACAACAACACAATGACTAGATGACCCTTAGGGGTCCGTTCCAACTCAACTAAAGACCAGATCCAAAGGGACCAGACTGAATCCAAACAACAACAACTCAAGAGACTAAATGACCTTTGGGGTCCCTTCCAACTTAACTAAAGACCAGATTTAAAGGCACCAAACTGAACCCAAATAATCATAACAACAACAACCACAATAATAATAATAATGACACAAGGGGCTAGATGACCCTTGGGGGTCCCTTCCAATATAATGACCCTTGGGGTCCCTTCTAACTCAACTAAAGACCAGCTAAAGGTACCAGACTGAATCCAAATAATAATAATAGGTATTAATAATAATAATAATTTAAAACACCAGACCCTGGGAAGCCCTGGCCCTTGAGCGCTCCAGCTGGAGGTCAGCTGTGACCAGCAGTGCTGTAGAATTCTAAGAGGCACAAATGGAGGGCGAAAGGGAGAAACGTGCCAAGAGGAAGAAGGTGCGTCAAGCCAACCCTGACTGGGACCACCTTCCACTTGGAAACCAATGCCTGCACTGCGGGAGAACATACAGGTCAAGAATAGGCCTCCACAGTCACCTACGGACCCCCCGCTAGTACACTGATCTTGGAAGACAATCCTACTCAGACAACAAGGGATCGCCTAAGTAAGTAATTAGCGATGATGATGATGATGATGATGACGATGACGACAACACAATGGACTAGATGACCCTTGGGGGTCTTTTCCAACTCAACTAAAGACCAGATCCAAAGGGACCAGACTGAATCCAAATAACAACAACAATATAACAACAGTAATAACAACAACAACTCAAGAGACTAGATGACCCTTGGGGTCCCTTTCAACTTAACTAAAGACCAGATTTAAAGGCACCAAACTGAACCCAAATAATCATAACAAAAACAACCACAATAGTAACAATGATACAAGGGGGGCTGGATGACCCTTGGGGTCCCTTCCAATATAATGACCCTTGGGGGTCTCTTCTAACTCAACTAAAGACCAGCTAAAGGTACCAGACTGAATCCAAATAATAATAATAATAATAATAATTATTATTATTATTATTATTATTATTATTAATTTAAAACACAAGACCTGGTGTGATGATGAGGAGTTGGATTAGAAGACCCTTGGGAGTCCCTTCCAATATAATGGAAGGCAGGTGGAATTATTCTAAAGGCATCAGACCAGAGCCATTATTGTATGCTGGATTTCGTATCACAAAATCACAAGTCGAACACTTCCCAAGCGTCCAGGATTGTGTGATGTATTTTCAAATGATGCGCGCAGATCCAAGTCAGGTGGTCTTTTGCAGTTGACAGATCGTGATTTTTGTCAATGTTTATTGTTTCCAAATGCCGGCTGAGATCTTTTGGCACGGCACCAAGTGTGCCCATTACCACTGGGACTACCTGTACTGGTTCGTGCCACCAGAGCCTTTGCAGTTCGATTTTGAGGTCCTGATCACGGCTGAGTGTTTCCTGTTATTTTTTGTCAATTTGACTGTCACCTGGTATGGCGACATGAATAATCCAAACTTTTTTCTTTTCTATCATCATCATCATCATCATCATCACCATCAGATCTGGTCTTGGATGCTAAGCAGGGTTCTATTACTGAAGATAACTTTCAAAGGAATTTGTCCCCTACTGTTCTAGTTTCCTCTACCTGATTCAGGAAGGTAAGTGGGACCAAGCCTGGTTAGCACTCAGAGGGAAACAAACAATAATAATGATAATAATAATGACAATAATATTAATACACTAAAGGCCACCTGACTTGGATCTGCGCGCATCATTCGAAAATACATCACAAAGTCCTAGACGCTTGGGTAGTGTTCGACTTGTGATTTTGTGATACGAAATCCAGCATATAGATCTTGTTTGCTGTAACATATTGAGTTTTTGTGTCAGTAAAATAATACACTAGATAGCAAATTTTGCAAAATGCCGTTCCTGGTTTGAAAGTGTTATTTCCTGTTTAATTGAGCAGTTCTTGCTTTGAAAGTGATTGTTCTACATCATAAACTTAGTTTTTGTGGCACATACTATGTTGAATTGGTTGAAACTTGATAATGATTCATTGAAAAATTAGAGCCAAACGTCCTATAGCAGGATGATGTCCTTCCCACAGAAACAAAGTTTGTGCAGTTTAATAAACATTTCCCATGTTTTTATGATGGAACCAATTAGGAAATGACATTGATAACCTAGGAACAAAAATGATAGTGTTACATGATGATGATGATGATGATAAATTAAAGATTGAACTGCAAAGACTGTGGCACAAGCCAGTAAAGGTGGTCCCAGTGGTGATCAGCACACTGGGTGCAGTGCATAAAGACCTTGGCCTGCACTTAAATACAATCGGTGCTGACAAGATTGCCAGCTGCAGAAGCCACCTTACTGATATCTGCACGCATTATTTGCCGATACATCACAGTCTTAGACACTTGGGAAGTGTCTGATGTGTGATCCAATACAACAACCAGCAGAGTGTTCTTGTCTGCTGTGGACTCATCTTGTTGTAATAATAATAATAATAATAATAATAATAATAATAATAATAATAATAACCATCATCATCAATAATATCAGCCTTTTAGGCAAAATTTCGTTTCGGGGGGGGGGCTGAATTTTTTTCAGGGGGGGTTTCGGGGGGGGCTGAGTTTCGGGGGGGGGGCTGAGTCTGAGTGAAAGAGGGTCTAGCCTAGAAAACCTTTTGTATTATTACCCCAATACCCCCATGCATATGGGATATATTGATTATGGTGATCAGATCATGATATGAATAAACATAACAGTTTAAATAATGCACCAGTAAGGCCTTTTCGCGAACCACCATCAGAATTTCGGGGGGGGCTGAAGCCCCCCCCCCCCCGGCTACATGCCTGGTTCTGTCGCAATGGAGCATGCAGCCCAATTGCCCAGAATGACGACAAAGAGTGTGGAAGCCAAGGCCACTTCCTTCTGCATTTGTTTGGGAGGAAATATGGTCAGAATCACAAGGCAGTGATGCCACCCCTTATTGCAGCGAATGCTGGGATGACATCTCCCTATACTGAGAATTTGGGCTTATGCAGTTCGAAGCACAGAGAAGGGGTGTGTTCACACTGTAGAAGCACATGTGGTTTGATGCCGCTTGAGCTGCAGCAGAAAAGTTCACCTATGCCCTTTCCACACTACCATATAGAATCATAGAGTTGGAAGAGACCTGGTGGGCCATCCAGTCCAACCCCATTCTGCCAAAAAACAGGAAAAACACATTCAAAACAGCTTCGGCACATGGCCATCCAGCCTCTGCTTAAAAGCTTCCAAAGAAAGCACCTCCACCACACTCTGGGGCAAAGAGAGAGTTCCACTGCTGAACAGCCCTCACAGTATGGAGCAGATAATCTACGTTATCTGCTCTGAACTGGAGTCAATGAACCCCTCCCACGCTGCCATATAAAATTATTATTATTATTATTACCACTACTACTACTACTACTACTACTACTACTACCCCATTTATCCCTCCAAAAGGGATTCAAAGAAGCATTATCATACAATTTAAAATCTATTATTATTATTATTATTATTATTATTATTATTATCATAGAATCAAAGAGTTGGAAGAGACCTCATGGGCCATCCAGTCCAACCCTCTGCCAAGAAGCAGGAATGTTGCATTCAAATCACCCCTGACAGATGGCCATCCAGCCTCTGTTTAAAAGCTTCCAAAGAAAGAGCCTCCACCACACTCGGGAGCAGAGAGTTCCACTGCTGAACGGCTCTCACAGTCAGGAAGTTCTTCCTCGTGTTCAGATGGAATCTCCTTTCTTGTAGTTTGAAGCCATTGTTCCGTGTCCTAGTCTCCAGGGAAGCAGAAAACAAGCTTGCTCCCTCCTCCCTGAAACACATCAAGATGAGTCCACAGCAGACACTCTACTGGCTCCTGAATTGGATCACACATCGGACATTTCCCAAGTGTCTAGGACTGTGTGATGTATTGGCAAATATGTATTCTTCTTTTTCTTCTTCTTCTTCTTCTTCTTCTTCTTCTTCTTCTTATTATTATTATTATTATTATTATTATTATTATTATTTGATATACAACAAGATTAGTCCACAGCAAACAAGATCACTCTCTAGCTTTTGTATTCGATCACATGTCAGACACCTCCCAAGTGTGATGTATGGGTGA